TGTGTGGTCCAGTAATTATCTGTGTGGTGTTATGAAAATTCCAGAGACACCAAAGGACAGTTAAAGACTCAACTTTCTGCTTGCTCTAGAACTATGCCCACTGACTAGATCCTCCCATTTCTAGTTGGAGCCTAGGCCAGGGATTTGTACTCAGGCCCTTCCTTGTGCTTGTGAAGCAGGCAGTGGAACCACTGAGCCAAATCTCTGGCCTAGGCTCCTACTCCTTTCTTCTTGAGGGCTGTTGCTGATCCACCACAGGAAATAGTCCAACTTCCCCTGTATCTGCCTGCTGGGGTATCAACAGGTGGTTTATAGAAGTGTGTGCAGAAAGTCGACAAGTATTATTAGAATGACCTGAATCTTCAGATAAATGACCTACCTGTCCCACCTGAGTCCTTTGTGGTTCCTCTTTCCCTCTTCTGGCTTCAGCTACATGACAGGCAGTTCAACTAGAGGCACTGTGGAAAGAAAAGTGATACAACCATGGCCAAGGCACAGTGAGAGGACAGAATGTGTGCTAAAGATGGAATGAATGATCTCTCATTAAAGGGCTCAAGGGCAGCATGCTTTTCTGGGGACATGGGTCAAATGACCAGATGACAGCTATATAAAGCCAAAGAAAATCCAGAATAGGAATATAACTAAAAATAGAAGGGAAAACCAAAGAGGAAGCATCCACAATCTTGCTGTTGGTCAAGCTGTACATGTAGCTGTTTTTTGCTAAGATGGGACAGCATAGCAGGGACTGAAAAACTGGCTGGGAGCCCGTCACAGCTGGCCTGAGAGTATAAGGAGTATGCAAGGAAAGGCCCCAAAGAAGATCTTCCTCGCTAAAGTTATGAAAGTTGGTTAACATCTAAAGGAGCCAGGAGAAAGACTCCTTTCTGGACACAAGTATCCCACGAATGACTGCAAGCTCTTGCTTGCTGTTCTTTTCTGTTGTGAGAGCTTGGGAAATGCAGATCACAGGATCACAGTGCTTGAAAGATATTCCCAGCTGCACTGTAGCAGAAAGAACAGGAGGCTGGGAAAGATGGACTCAAGTGTTGCTCTACCACGCTCTAACTGGGACAAAGCTGAATGTCTTCGAGCTTCAGCCTTCCTCTTCATAACCAAACAAACAGAAAAAAAACCTCAAAATCTACTGAGATGAAAGATGTAATCTTTCTTAAAATTAAACAAAATTCTAGAAGACCTAATATAGGAAAAATGTGAAAGGAAGTGCAAAGGCTGGAAGGAGGGGTGAATAACCCCATCGAGAGTTCTGTAAGATACCACCACCAGCTCTGATCCCTGGGATTGGGGATGCAAAAAAAAACGTGCTCAGCAGGCACAGGGGAAGTCTGTGAAGTTGTTTACCAGAAGGAGACAATTCACACAAGTTACAGAGTATCCTACAAGCTACCCACCATGGCTAATGCCAATGGGAAAATTCTGTAGCATGCTGAGTTATACTACTTCTGTAAATTGTACATGTCTATGTCTGCTTTGTGTTGCTGTAACAAAATATCTGAAACTGGATATTTCATAAAGGAAAGGGGCTTATTTAGCTCACAGATTTGGAGGTTCAGGAGCATGGTACAGCATGACACCTTCCAACGAAGGCCTTATTGGGGGTGGCAGCACATGGTGGCAACATGAGTGAGACAGTCACATGTTGTGGGGGGACCAGTCTCATGATAACCAAGCCAGGAAAACCTCAGTCCCTCTCTTAGCTCCACCAACACCACAGTGAAGACCAGTGTGACTTCGGTGGACACAAACTATATTCAGACCATTATAGTAAAGCTATAAGTTGAAATTTTAGGCAATTGCCTTCTTTCAAAGAAAAAAAAATTCAAATAAGAGATCAAATCAGGAAGAATGGATACCTAGGAAGGTGAAAACAAAACTTTTAGAGGAGAAAGGCACAGATGAAGGAGTGAGCCTGGGACTCAAGTAAGGTCCTGGTGTGTGTGGGAGAGCTCATGTGCTCAAGCCTGAGATCACTCGGCCTGAACACTCCCACCAGCCAGGCAGCACAGACAACAGGAATCGTGAGAGGTGGCTGTTTAATGGGCTGGCAGCAAGATCTCTTGTGCCAGGTGTGGTGGTGCACACCTATAATCTCAGCTTCTCAGGAGGGTGAGGCAGGAAGATTCAAGTTGGAGGCCAGCCCAGGCAACTTAATGAAAGCCCGTCTCAAACATTTTTAAAGGGGTTGAAGTATAGCTCAGTGGCACAGTGCTTGCCTAGTTCAATCCCTAGCACCCTCCGCCCCCCACGCATGCATGTGCACACAATCCTGCAAGAAGACAAGGGTTTCACTCTGCACAGTCATACAGGTTCTGAGCATCTGGATCAAGGAGCTCTGACTTCTTGAATAGGATGAATCCTTCCTCTGGAACTGCAGAGCACCATTTCCAGACAGATGTCTGTGCCAAATTCACATTAAAGCAAGTCTTTCCTTCTCACCTTTGATGGTTCCCCTTTCCCTCCTGTCTGAACCAATTGTGTTGAAGGCATCTGACATCACTCCTATCAATTCCCGTCCCGTCATCCTGAACAGGCACACCTCACACCTGCTGTGTCCCCTAACCAGGCTACTGAGGGGCCCTATGAGCTTCCTAAGCATGTCATCCTCCTGCTCAGAAATTCAAGACCAAGTCCTAGCTCCCAAGCAATGACACAGCAGACTGCAGTCTAGCCCGACTTGCATTCTCATTGCCTCCATCTTCTATTCAGTTCAAGGCTCTGACCACGGCAGAGCACCTGTTCTTTCTGGAACACATCTCACATTCTGCTCATTTTCTGTGCTCCTCCAGCCTCAAATGTATTTCTATTGCATATGCACCATGGAGCAAGTACTGTTGGACATGCTGGGATTAAAATCAAGATAGACAAGGTCCCTGTTCTCACGGACCCTCCTTCCCCCTCTCAGACGCAGCTCAAATCTACTTTCCTTGAAATTCTCTCCTATTCCATACGTGTACATTAACTTCTTCCTCTTTTTCTTTGGAGACAGGTTCTCTCACTATGTACTTCAGGCTGTCCTTGAACTCACCATGTAGCTGTCTGGCATCCAACTCATGGCCATCCTCCTGCCTGTCTCTGGAGTTCTGGGATTATAGGTGTGAGACACCATGCCCGGCTCTTCTTCTATTAATACTTCTAGAGCAGCTGGTAGTTTTAACGTTTTTTTTTTTTTTTTTTTTTTTGAGACAGGGTTTTGCTATATAGTTCAGGCTGGCCTTGAACTCAGATACCCCTGCCTCACCCTCCTGAGTGCTGGGGTTACAGGCATGCACCACCACATCCAGCTGGTTTGTGTACATTTATACACCCAAACTATGTGTGTGTCTTCTGGCCTGGACTATATACTTCTTGCAGGTAGAAACTAGGGAGCCATTGATCTTTGAGGGTTTACCTAGTCTTCACACAAACAAGAGGCTTAATGTCTTTTGAAATATACCAGGTAAGAGTCAGAGATTTAGCTCAGTGGTGCTGCCACCTGCCTCACAAGCTCAAAGTCCTCAGTTTGATCCCCAGTGCTGGAAAAAAAAAAAAAAAAAAAAAAAAAAAAAGAAAAATACTAAGTCTATCTCAATCTGCTTCCATTTATGATAAAAGAAATAATAAAATGTAAAGTTTTATCTATTTTAAAGAAATGTAAATACTTTTTAGAGGGAATACAAATTAAAAATTATAATGGAAAGACTTGAAAAACACCCAAATGATTAGAACCTGAATTTACAGCTTATAGCTTATACAAGTACCTTTTATTAATGATTCTGTATGACTTCTTACAAATTATGTAGAAGCAAAGATCTCAAAAGCAGACTTCTGCTGGGGAATTAGCTCAGTGGTATTGCCACCTGCCTCAAAAGCACGAGGTCCTAAATTTAATCTCCGGTACCAAAAAAAAGCAGACTTCTGATTTACTTAGTCACCAATCAGCACATGGGCCAAGCTGGGCCAGTAATCTCATTTCTAAGCATTAGAGAGCTGCCCAGTAGCTTCCTAAGGAGGTCCATGGAGACCAACAATAACCAAAAGACCAAAGTGGTGAAGTCATTTACCACCGAAAAAGGCCTCAGGAAAGGAACTCAAAAGCAATGTCTAACTGGCCTTGTCCTTTGGTACACAATTCACTTAGAGATATCAGCACTGCTTATTCTTTTTCAACTTAGGACTGGCTATCTGGGTGTGGTGGCGCATGCCTATTATCCCAGCACTCTGGAGGCTGAGGCACGAGGATCGCTGTGAGGTCCAGGGTCGCTGTGAGGTAGAGACCAGCCTGGGCTACATAGTGAGTTCCAGGTCAGTCTCAACTACATAGTGAGACCCTGTCTCAAAATACCAAAACCAAACCAAAACAAAACAAAAAAACCTAGGACTGGCTAGGAGTGGTGGCACACACCTGTAATCGTAGCACTTGGGAGGCTGAGGAAGGAGGACAGCCATAAGTTTGAGGCCAGCCTGGGCTACACAGTGAGTTCAAGGCCAGCCTGGATTACACAGCAAGACCCTGTCTCAACAAAACAAAAAGTGAATTCTAAAACAAATCAAGCAGTCGTCCCTTTCCCTTTCCAGACTTCAGTGGGTCATGGTGTTCCACCAGTGGGAAGGGTTGGGGGTTCAGGGCTGATCTTCTGTACCACAGAGGCTGACGGTTGCACAAGCAGGGACAGAGTCCTGCACCATAATCAGAGGCAGGCATGAGAAGCACATAGAGGGGCCTCTTCTGGGCACCTTCCTCCTCCTCCTGTTCTTACTTTGTTGTCATTGAAGCAAGGAGAAAATGATCAGTTCACCCACACTGTATCACCCAGCTCTCCTGATGACATAACAGAACACCCTTGTCCCTGGTTTAAGGAAGACTACACATATCTTTTTGGCTGGAATTAACAAATACATTAGCTTTTGCAATTGCTGACAACCCAAAGTTTGACTCTGTTCACTGTTACACTGAAGTCTCCAGCACACTAGACAGGCAGAAAGCAATTCACCAGCAGGAGGAATCTTAGCAAATATTTTATTAACACACAGCCATACTCCTGGGGTATATGGGGACTCAGAACACTGCCTACACCAAAGCTGCTGAAGTAAGTGATCTGATCCTTAGTCTTCCTTCACCTGGCTTCATAACTCTGTAGTCGTTAAGTCCCTAACAGAACAGCGCCTGCGCTATCTTTCTCTGTCCACTTCCCCCAAGAACTCAGGTTTCCCCTCAACATGTGGATGACTGACACTCACTGCCTTTGCAATGGCCGGGCCTCCTTATGATAAAGCCCAAATTAATTTTTCACAAAGTTGCTCTCATTCCAATTCTCTCCCGAGAGGGGCTGGAACATCTTCAGGATGAACATAAAGATTCCCACTGCCGGAATATTCGGAATACTTTCCTTGACTTCTCAGATAGACTCTATAGGTATTGCAAAAAACAAAAACAAATTAAATCAAAGATTAAATTTTTATAGAGAAAATGCATAGCTAAAAGTTTTAGGGATTAATCCAAATTTCTCCTAAAATGCGCTAGATAGACCTAGAACTGTATAAAAACTCTTATTATGCTATTTATAATGTATAGCTAATGTCTAACAAAGTCAAGAAAGCTCTTTCTTACTGTTAGACTGATGCTAACACACCCTGAGCCTCCAAATTGTGGCACGTATCATCCCTCCTGGTGCTGTACCTGTTCTCATCTGTACATGACATGGTGCTTCTGATTGCCACTATTTTGACTACCATATATTTTGCGATGATCCACCCTCACTGCTTAACTGGCCCTAGTTCATTATTTCTGTGGCTAACAGTTCACACTTGGTACCTAACTTGGGTACCAGTAAAATCCAAGGTGAGGAAAAACAACAAAATTGAATGGTCCCCTAAGAATTTAAGCTATGACCTTGGCTTTCTTGGTTTCATGTTTTAGTCAGCTAAGCTAAAAATAGGAAGATTTTCACTGCCACTTGATCATACCTATCATGTGCTTTAAGATTATGAGAAATGATAGTACAGGGAGAAAAAACAATTCATTAAAAGATGAAAGTTCTCAATAAATGGGAACATTCAGTTTTCTCTGAATGTGAAACAATGAAGAACAGACATTCTAAACAGCAAAGGTCTCGGTGAAGGTATAAAGAATTTTAACAAAACCACCCATAAGCGAGGCATGGGGTGCATGCCTGTAATCCCAGTACTCTGGAAGACTGAGGCAGGAGGATCCAATGTTGGAGCCCAGCCTGGGAAACTTAGTAACTCAGCAAAAGGCTTTCTCAAAGTGAAAAATAAAAAGTTGTAGGGGTATAGCTCAAAGCGAGCTGCATTAGTTGTCAGTATTGGGAAAAAAACAAAACAAAATCCCATAAAGTCATCTCCAGTCTAATATGAGATGGCATATAGACAGAGTTATACTATATAGTTCAGGCTGGCCTTGAACTCACTAGGTATCCCAAACTGGCCTTGAACTGGTGATGATCCTGCTGCCTCAGCCCCCCAAGCAGTAGGATTACAGGCTTGTGCCACCATACCTGATTCTTATCCTTTTTTATAGATGAGCGTATCAATAAAATAAAGTAAAATAAAATCTTTGGGGGGAAAAGCTTGAGCTCTAATTCAGGTAACTGAGAGTAAATTTATTTAATTTAGTGACCAAACAAAGTTGAGAGAACCTAAATTAAAACAACAACAACAACAAACAAAATACAGACATGGTGGTACAGGCCTGTACACTCAGGAGGCTGAGGCAAGAAGATTGTGAGTTTGAGACCTGCCTGGGATACATAATGAGGCTTTGTCTCAAGGGGGGAAAAAAAAAGTGAAAGAAAAGAAAACAAACAAAAAAGTATAAACTTTTTTTCCCCAATGTTAAGATCCTTGCCACAGTCCTATTAAGCCTTGTACTGTATTAACCATTTATAGAAGCCAAGGGGTAGCTCACCAACAAGGATCTTAAAAGTCCTAACATCCATGGCCAACATTTTCCACTTAAAAAACAAAACACAACACCAAAAGGCAACAACAATGACAAACACCCTGTGCTGTCTCTTTTTAGTATGACAGCAACAAAACATTATTTCCTCTAGGCAGAAAGAATTTTATGTGTAAAGACAAATTTAATATCTCTAATTTGAATAATGGGTTAAATATTTGTCTTCAAATAGCTTTGTATTTCCAAAAGCTTTTAAATTGGAAAAATAAAAAAAGTTTTTTTCCTGCAAAATCCTGGAAAGCCTTCATATACGTATTCACTGACAGCACTAATGTACATGGTTAGGCTTTATCATCGCTACATCTGCTTCCAGTGGAACCCTGTGACCCTATAAAACCATGCATCTAGGAATGCTGGCAAGTGCTATTTCATTTGTCTTTGGAGACTGTAGAGGTCAGAAACCGTTATATTTATACCAGGCAAATATGGAAGTAAGCCCACAGAGGAAAGAGAAATGAGTTTTCACGATTTCTTAATATCCACCTATCACTTTCATTCCCGACACAGAGCAAACACCTGACTTGTTTTCTCAGCTGTCAGGAAGGCTTTGCACTTAAACCCCCAGTAACCACAGCAGTCAGGACGGCGATAGTAATGACAGGCTAGCACACATGCCTGGGCTGCGGAGAGGGTGAAGTAATGTGCTCAACTTGGGGAGTGGAATCATCAGTGTAGTGTCAGAGCACAGAGCTTCCAACAGCCAAACTCATTGGCTAGGCCCCAAAGGCAGTGACAGCCACTGACAGAGTAAGCAGCTGATCTGCAACAGGAGGCTGGGGCAGCTGCCCATTCATCTGTTTCCCTGTCTGTACTCCTTTCCTACTTCCTTCAAGTCATTTCAGTTGAGAGAACAAAGAATCCAACAGAATTTGATGGAACCCCATTTTCTAAGTTGCAGCTACTGAACCACTTCCGTGGCTTTCTCTAGGATGAAACCAGAGTATGTCCAACTCGACCTAGAAAAGCTGAAGGCAGGCAAGGTACTAACTACAGCACCGGCTTCTGCCACTTGTCCCATGAACAGAGGTGCTGCACTCATGCAGGCAACAGCTCATCTCACCATGGGGTCCGCGTCAGCTGGCTGGCTGGACTGCTTATGTGCCAGCAGCATGGTCAGCACTGCCTTCCAGCCCGGTTCTACTGGGGTGCTGGCATCCTGCTCTGTTCCCCTATTTTCCTCGGCTTCTCTGCCAAGTGTGCTGTTCACCCATGGGCACCAGTCTCTGTGCTGAGACGTGGGATCAAAGAAGCTTCTTGAAGATGTGTCCTGAGGGAGGAGAAAGAGACTGCATCAATGAAGGGCAGGCAGATACTACATTGATTCTGGGGTGCACTGCTATTAGTCACCATGGCCAGAATCTCACAGTTGTCCACGGTTCTAGTTTTTACATTCTCTTCTAACTCTTATCTTCCCTTATTCTTTCAGTCTTTTTGTGTAAAAAAAACTTACCAGGTTTGCTCCTTTACCTTCACTTCTGTCCTATTAGCCAGAAATATTCATTAGCTCTCAAACTTCATCCCAAAGGAACAAATGACAAGCCTTCACTTTTTTCCCTTTGGTCACGCATATGGCCCATTTTAAATTTATTTCACAATCTACTTCTGGCCACAGGACCAGGAGGACAACTACCTGCTGCAGGAGCAGGTGGACTCACCGAGCTGCCTGAGGAGCAGAGGCGAGCGCGCTTGGCTCTCCGCAGAGGGCTGGTCGGCACTTCTAGGCCAGCAGCATCCCCTCCTCCCATGCTCCGGGTCACAGGGCGGGTTCTGGGGGTGGGGCTGGCTGCTTCTGGCTCCAGTCGGTCCACGGGACTGGAAGAGTCCCAGCTCCGTGTTCGGGAGACAGTGGGACCTGGGCTCTTTTCAGCCTGAAGGGGAGTAAATAAGAATATATGAATGATGTTAATGGTTAGGCCAATGAAGTATATCTAAGTAGTTTCTGAACTGCCTGCATAACTAAAATCTTCAAGAGCATTGTATTTCTTTCCTGAATCTCTGTAATGAATTTAGCTTCCTTAGTGGTGAACAGAAACACGACAGGATAGTCTGATCTATGTGCTTAGAAGTAAAGACTATCTAACCTGGCTCCCCTGGCCCTGTAATTCCAACACTCTGGGGAGGCTGAGGCAGAAGAATTGCAAATTTGAGCCCAGCCTGGGAAACTTAGTGACTTAAGAGACCCTGTCTCAAAATAAAAAGGGCTGGGAATGTGGTTTAGTGTGAAGGCCCTAGGCTCAATCAGTAGTATAGCCCCCGCAAAAAGTAAAGGCTACCAATTTCCAACTTTTCATTACCAACATTTTTTGGCAAGAATGCTGTTAAGGTATCTACTGTCAATGGGCTGGGGGTTTAGCTCAGTGGCACTGTGCCTGCCTCCTAAGTGCAAGGTCCTGAGTTTGATCCCTGGTAGAAAAAAAAAAAAAAAAAAAATCTACCCCCCAAAGCTAAGTCAAAACCTGCTCTGAGCACGGGGAAAATGAGGCATCCTGGCTCCGGGTCATTATCCTTCGAGGAGATTCGGGTACCGGAGGGAAGCGGTCTGGCCGACCCTCAGGACCTGTGATGGGGGAGCTGGTCTGGCCAAAGGACGAATCCAGGTCGGTCATGGATGACTCAATCTGCTGGAAGCCCCAGAGCCCCACCTTCCTCATACACTGTGAGCAGGTTATCAGCGAGAGCTGCATGGGTTCCAGAGATGAACTAGGAAGGAATGGAAAACAAAGTGGGTGTTTCCAAATAACACTGCCACACGACTAAGCATAGTGATTGGTGAGCATGCTTCATCTCACCTAGCACATCTCTGTGGTGGCCCAGTGAACCGGGAATCCCATCCTCCCACAGGCCTGTTCTCTGATCTCAGACCCAGCCCTGCTCATGTATTTCCCACACAGAGATCTGGGCATTGGTGTGATCTCCACGGCAAGGCTACTTTGAAATATGTTTTATAAACTTCTGTGCCTCTTAAAGCTCTTTCCCTAGCCTACCATGGAATATAAATTGAGATTTGTTCGGACTGTCTTCTTTTTCTTTTTTGGTTTTTTGGTTTTTTGAGACAGGGTCTCACTATGTAGTTGAGACTGATCTGGAACTCACTATGTAGCCCAGGCTGGTCTCACAGCGATCCTCCTGCCTCAGCCTCCCGAATGCTGGGATTACAGGCGTGCGCCACTACGCCCGGCAGGTTCTGACTGTCTTCCATCTCAGGGGAGGTCTCTGGTGAACGGGGAGCAGATGGAATGGAAATACCAACACAGGCCAGGGGTTCCAGATGATATTTACTCTGGTATTTTTTTTAATCAATTAATCTGACTTTTCTTGTGTCTAACTACAGAAAGGAACTTTCTTCTTTACAGGAACATAAACTCCCAGGTAGGAAGTAACAATATAAGAAACAAAGTGTGTGAACACTAAGGATCCTACGCTCTAATTCTAGGTTTGTTAGTTAATTCTGATTATCTGCCTTCCCCAACTTCTGACCCTAATTTCTCTTCATCTCTGTTTTCTTTTAGGAATTTCCAAATACTGTTAGTGACCGATGTATATGGGGTATACAATGTCACAGTTCATGTACCCAGGGCAAGATTCTCTTACTAACCTACATGCCCAGCCGCACACAGAGAGAATACAGGCAGTGATGTGGACCTGGACGTCTGAGCCCAATTTGCTTGTAGCTTTTGTCTCATCAGTTCGATGATCAAGTTCCTCTTCAAGCAGGTTTAGCAGAAGGCTGACCTTGTCTTCTGTCAAGCACTACAAAGGAACCAAGGTAAACAACTTAAAGTTTCAGCCATCACAAAAAGAAAACTTATACATAATGATGTACCTACATGGTAAGAGGCAAAAATCAGAAAAGAAATGAACGAAGTTGGAGACAGCAGCCCCATAAACAAGACTCACTCTAGGGCAGGGCTACAATGTCACACAGAGGCGCCCAGAATGGCCCTGGATCTGCAGACTGGGGAAAGTGGCAATTTTCTAAATCTTTCTTTTTAGTACTAAATTGTTTTCAATTTTCCAATTGCCAATTTTCTCTGAAACTTGTGCATTTCAAACCCAAATAATGAAAATATTACTGCTTATGTCTTGGTCTGACACTAAATTTACTTTGAGAATGAACAACAGAGCTTGCCAGCCTTGATTTTTGTTCTAAGAATAAGAGTTATAATAAAGAGGGGAAATGAGCCGGGGATTGGCTCAGTGGTTCTGCCGCCTGCATCACAAGTGCAAGGACCTGTGTTTGATTCCTGGTACCAAAAAAAAAAAAAGAGGGGAAATGAGAAAAGAAAAAAATGGAAACAAAGTCTTTGTAAATAAGGAAAGGTGGAGGGGCTGAAGGGAGGGCAGGGGTATGGGGTAAAAATAAGAACCAAGATATGTCATGCAATGATACAAGATCCCAATAATGAATGTAACTGTACTGTATACCAAAAAGTACCAAAAAACTCAATGAAAAAAAAAAAAAGCGGGGAAAAAGAAATCAAGCTGGCCAAGGACAGGGTGACATAAATATATGCCAGAGGTTGACAATCTGGTCAAAAAGCCAAGCCAGACTGTCACCTAAAGAAGGAAAATACAGCTGCTATTTCCTACAACATAGCTTGTCTTCACAGAGTATTCACAGGCTGATGAAATGGGACAGTAAATATTCAATTTCAAAATACAGATGGGCCAGAGTATTTCAACATTTCTATTTACAAGAAGGGATTTATAAGCTGGGTGCAGCAGTGCACACCTGTAATACCAGCACTTGGGAGGCTGGGGCAGGAGGATCACCCTGAGTTTGAGGCCAGCCTGAGCTACATAGCAAGAGACTGTCTAAAAAAACCAACCCCTCCCCCTAAAAAAGGATTTATAACTTGTCCTCTTGCACTTTAGAAAAATGGTATGCAATAAACTATAGTCACATTTAAGCATCTTCTGTTGACTAATTTAATAAATCAAGGTAAATTTGAATTTATGCCATTAAAGAATAAATAGGCAGGCACAGTGGTACACACTGGCAAGCTCAGAACTCTGGGAGGCTAAGGAGGGAGGATCAAGTCTCATCTGGGAAATTTAGCAAATTTTGTTGTGCAGGTTTAGTCCCTGGTACCACACCAAAAAACAAAAGATTCATGTCTAAGTTGGGTTTGATGGCACATGCACCTATAGCTTACAATCTCAGCTATTTGGGAGGCTGAGGCATGAGGAGCAAGAAAGTTCAAGCCTCGGTGGAAAATTCAGGGAGAATCTGTCTCAAAATAAAGTTCTATTAAAAAGGCTGGGATGTAGCTCTGTGGTACAGCACTTGCCCAGTATGTATGAGGCCCTAGGTTTGATCCTCTGTACTGCCCAAAAAAATCCCACACAGAAACCCCTAAAAACATATCTAAATATTTTTATATGGAACACATTTTCTGGTAAAAATTGAAAAGGTCAGATGAGAGACAAGTAAGTAGCTCCCTTCACAACAATCTATCCTTTGTCATTAAAAGAAATCTTTCATGTATAAATGCTGGTAACAACTAGAGGCCATTGAAACCCAGCCAAGATAAACTCACCATAGTTTTTAAGTCTTCTGGCCTCAGGGAAGGGAGCTGGAGATCCAGGTGACAAAGGCTTTGAAATCTATCAAGGAAGTCACTGATTAGAACCGCAGGTTCATCCAATGGCAACATCCCAAATCGATCTGTGGAAGAAGTAAACTAGATTATATTGATATTCAAAAAAAAGGGTAGAGGTTTGGGGATTTAGCTTATTGGCACTGTGCCTGCCTCGAAAGCACAAGGTCCTGAGTTCAATCCCTGGTAACAACAACAAAAAATAGAGAGCCAAATTTGGCAAATGCTTGTATTCCCAGATCTTGGGAGACTGAGGCAGGAGGACAGCTAGCCTGGGCTACAGAATGAGTTCAAGGCCAGATTGCACCCCATACAGAAAAGCTACTTCAAAAAAGACCATATAAACTGGGTGTGGTGGCACATGCCTATAATCCCAGCACTCGGGAGGCTGAGGCAGGAGGATTGCTGTGAGTTCAAAACCAGCCTGGGCTACATAGTTCCAGGTCAGTCTCAACTACATAGTGAGACCCTATCTCAAAAACCAAATCAAACCAAAATAAAACAAAACAAAAAACAAACAAAAAAAGACCATATAAACAAAAAAAGAAATTACTGGAGCCAGGTATCAGTGGTATATGCCTGTGGTCTCAACTAGTCAGCAGGCTGTGGTAAGAGGTTCACTTAAGCCCAGGAGTTCAAGAGCAGCCTGCAGAAGGGCCAGAAGGTGTTAGGAACACAGAAGAAACAAGACTGGTTATGAGTAGGGCTAGGGACATAGCTCAGTTACTATCTTAGGCATTACCAGATTAATCTATTAGGCATCCAGTACAAGCCCAGCCTGGGCAACTCAGTGAGACCATGTCTCAAAATACAAAATGATAAAAAGGGGCTGGAGATATAACTCAGCTTGAAGGCCCTGGATTTAATCCCCAGCACAAAAGCAAAGCAAAATGAAACACTAAAAGGAAAGTTTGAGGATGTCTCACCAAATAGAGAATATCAGTAAAGAGGAAAACATTATTAAAGAACCAAACAGAAACTATGGAGTTGGAAAGCACAAAAATTGAGATGAAATATTCAGTAGAAGAGTTCAACAGCAGATTTGAGCTGGCAGGAGAAAGAATCAGCAAACACTGAGATAAGTAGATTGAGATTATCTGTCTGAGAAGGAAAAGGAAAAAAAGAATGAACCACAGAAGGATAGATAAGAGGAGAAAGAGGAAGAAAATTTGATGAAAACTATTAATATACATATTCAAAAAGTTTAAAACCTGTGTAAATAGAGAAGGGAACCACAAATGTGCTAAAGAGAACTTATGTAGGAACCTGCACCAAGAACAGGAAGACTTGCTCAGCCTCTGTGATGACACAGCTAGTAGAAAAGGCTGTTAAATTAGTTACACACAGTCATCATGGGGAAGGAGGGTGTGGCAGTGGGTTCTAAAATGAGAATAACACAAATTTCCTGGTGGGTGCTATCACTCAGTGGGAGAGACCATGGTCATGTGTGAGTCACTGGGCTTGATTTCCAGTATCAAAACAACCAATACCACCACCAAACAAAAAATATTAACTTTAATAAGGGAGAGGCTAACTGGGAAAACTACAAAAAATAATAAAAATTAAAATATCAAGGAGGATATGAAGGCAACATGTTCTAATGACCAGTAGCCCAGATTTGGCAAAACTTGGGATAAGAAACCAAGTCCCAAGACTTTTCTGATTATCTTCTAATTTAGGGTTTGGTCTGATTATTCTAATACGAAGAAAATAACTGTAAAATCCTATAAGGGTAAAAGAGCAAACACAGAAGAAATTAAAGCCATCATAAAAATGCCTTAACATAAGCTTAAACATGTTTTATAATGTACTTATATATTTGTGTAGTTTAAAGTATCTGGCATATGCAGTCAGCCTGAGTAAATTAATAACTATCATTTAAAATATTTAAAGGGAAAGGCCAGGGATTTAGCTCAGTGGTTCCGGTGCCTGCTTCACAAGCACAAGGGCCTGAGTTCGATCCCCGGAAAAAAACAAAAACAAAACAAAACAAAAAAAAAAGGGCAATTTTTAAGTATTGGTAAATATCACCTAATAAAGTACATTTATTAGGTATGCTTAATAAATTTAGGCATTAAAGTATAAAAAGTTATGAGTGTTCCCTTCTCCACACAAAAGCCCTTTGAACGTTAAAGAAGCAAACAAAGAGATGGCATAACTGAAAGGTCAAATTTGAGATCTATTTAGGAGGAAGAATGGACAGGACAAGGTGGATGATGATAGGAAATGGGTATTTAAAGTGACTTTCAGATTCTAGCTAGGAACAACAGGATGGTGAGGTCAATGCCATTTACCAACATGGACAAAATTTTAGATACAAGATGAAGCATTCAGCTTTGTATATGCTGAGATATGGGTATGTGTATTATTTGGAAAAAAAAATTTTTTTTGAGACAGGGTCTCACTATGTAGTTCAGGTTGGCCTTGAACTATGCAGCCCATGCTGGTCTCAAACCTGGCAGCAATCCTCCTGCCTCAGTCTCCTGAGTGCTGGAATCACAGGTGTGCACCACCACACCTGGCTATATGGAAATGTTTAGAGGATAGTTGGAAAGATGAGTAAAGCTCAAAAGAGAGGTCTAGATAGGAATTAGAGGTCTCCAAGGTAGATGAAATTGTGAATGAGAAAAGCAGAGCACAGAGTAACAAAAGCTGGGACCCATTAACACAGCCTGGGCAGTGTTAATAAAAATATGGACTGAGTGCATTGGGCAGGGATGGACTCAAATACTCACAGGACAGAGTTGCATCATACCACACAATGAAATACCTAGGTGTTATGCGTTAACCTTTACTTTCACAATTTCATCAGAGGTAGACAACAATCTATTTTTCCTTCTTGGTGTTCATTCATGGAATATTCCTAGCCATCAGTGATCCCAGAATTGGCCAGAGCTGCCCTATTGAAATTAAAAATATATCTGCACTGTACTTATCCCTGATAGATGGATAGTGCTGCTTTGTAACGATGGGTCTGAGGAATTAACTGGTCTTGGAGAGATTTCTCCACCAGAGGGCTCTGCTCTTGAAGCTGTTTACTTGGCAGAAATATTCCTGTGTAACCAACAAAATATATAAAAAACCCAGTTGATACTGTATTTTGGGCTCTCTTATTTCACTGTGTTCTGTGCATACATCAGTGGTTGCTGATTCCCGAAGACCATGTCCTGCCATGGCCTTTCTACAGGAAAAGCAGAGATGCTTAGACCTGACCACTACAGTCCCCTTGCTGAAGCACCCTAGGCTGTGAAGACATCTGTACTTCAGTGCCGTTAGAGTGTACAGTTTTACTGTAATAACTGTAGCTTTTTATCACTCTCATTTGGGATCCTGTGAGTCTTATATAGCAAACAAACCCCTTTTAACTGCCACTATTAGTGAAGTTAGTGCACCCTGTAAGGGAAGCCTAGGTAAAACAAGGGGCTGCTCAGTTTGGTAGGGAAAAAAGCAGTTTGCAATCAGAGAAGACCACAGCTATAGCTTCTCTCTAGTTTATTTTACTTTGTCTGGTTGTTATGGTACCAGGGATCAAACTCAGGACCTTGCATTTGCAAGGAAGGCAGCAGCACCTCTGAGCTAAATCTCTGGCCCTTATTTTAGATTTTTGATTCTTCCTCACCTAAAAAAATTGAGTTGATGATATTTATCTTGCAGGCTCCTATGATGATTAAATGGGGTAACATACATGGCTAAATCACTGGCAGGACAAATGCACTTAATGTTAAATAATAATATCAATGAATGTGAGTTCTTAAAAATCAAATAAAAGAAAAAGAAACTTCAAATACTAGACTTTCACAAAGAAATAAACAACATTGGAGCTGGATGTCATGGTGCATGCCTGTAATCCCAGCCCTTGGGAACCTGAGGCAGGACTGCCTTAAGTTTGAGGTCAGCCTGGGCTACAGAGTGAGTTCAAGGCCAGACTGAATTACACAGTGAGATGATGTCTCAAAAAAAAAAAAAAAGGAGTAACAAAATGGACAATTAGAAATCCAATGGGCTGGGGATTTAGCTCAGAGGTTCCACCAACTGCCTCACAAGGCAAGGACCTGAGTTTGATTCCCAGTGCCAAAAAAAAAAAAAGAAAAGAAAAGAAATCCAATGATTGCAGGAAAGATGCTAGATAGGAAATCTTGGAAATAATTACCTGGACAGGGGCTGTCTGGCCAAAAACAGAACTTCTCATGGGCAGTACACAAAGATTTCTTCAGCTCATCACATCGTTCCTTATCTGAAATCCACACAGGCAGCAGTGCTTTAAAAAACACTATACAGATTCAAAATCCAATAGTCAAAAGAGTCTTTAATACACACACGACCACAAATAAAAATAACATGAAAATAATAGCAACTACATCATCTTAATAATTTTCACAAAATAAGTTGTAAACTGAGATCCTATAATCAGCAATGCAGATATATCATGTAACTTAAAAGGCAGAGCATTTCAAAGTGTGAGCCTTCAGAAATCCTCTGTCTTTTTGTGTCTGAAGTATATGTTTTTGAATGAAAAAGTAAAGATACTGCTATCAGTTACCTAGAATACATAAAGTCAAGCCGACTCTGCAGAAGCTTGGTTTTTAAGAAAAGTAACAAATGGAGCTAATAATTTGTGAAAGCCTTCACAAAGTCACCTTTTATACAAACTAGAGGATATTCTTTGCTCAAACAGACGTGAATTTTTCCCCCAGAAAAATTAGCATATCTTTGAATGTAAAGAAAAGTGTCATCTGTGCTTTATACTTACATCTGTCAAAGTCAAAAGCTGGCTGTAAACTGGCACAGAGAAAAGCCTGACAGCTGGAGCACTTGAGCATGTCACACTCAACTGTGACCCAGCCATATTTTGCACACATGAGTGGGGACAGCTCAGGGGGCTTGCCTGCCCATTTCAAAGAGTATTCAGGTTAAGAAAAACAATGCTGCAAGTATATTTAAATGAATAAAATTTAAGCAAGTAAGTCAGAATCAAAACTTTAATTCATTCTTAATGTATACTGGAATAGATACATTAAAGAGAAAAGCAGTAAGAAAAATGGTGAAGACTATTTTTACAGTGCAGATAGACACATACTTTAATAAAATAATGGTCATTTGAGTAATAAGTGGAGTAAAAAGTCACTAACCGTTTTTCTAGGGAACACTCTGTATAATACATGATTCAAAAATTTATTTTGTAGCACATCTGTAGACCTAGCTACTAGAAGGCTAAGGAGAACTTAGCCTTGAGCTCACCATGGACAACTAAGCAAAATCTGATCTTAAAAAAAAATTCATTACAGCTGGGCATGGTAGCGTACACCTGTAATCCCAGCACTCGGGAGGCTGAGGCAGAAAGATTGCTGAGTGTTCAAGACCAGCCTGGGCTACACAGTGAGTTCCAGAGCAGTCTTAACTACATAGTGAGACCCTGTCTCAAACCGCACTCCCCCAAAACAAATTCATTACTGGTGGTGGGCTGCAATATAGAAACCACTCACTGTTATTTAATCGGAACACTAGGAACTTAAAGACACTAGTGAACACACTAGGATATGCCTAATCAATAAGAGGTAGTAAAAAATGCAGGGATGGGCCAGGGATTTAGCTCAATGATGCCCTGACTGCCTGGCAAGCACACGGCCCTGAGTTTGATCCCCGGTACCAAAACAAAAAAACAAAAAACAGGCAGGAATATTTCCTGCTACTTGTTTTGTTTTGAGACAGGGTCTTTGTACTTGAGGTTGGCCTTGAACTCACTATGTAGTCCAGGCTGGCCTCACACTCATGGAAATTTTCCTGCCTCAGTCTCCTGAATGCTGGGATTACAGGTATGTGCCACCACATCCCACTACTTCCTGTTACTTGAGTATGCTCTCCTTCTGTACCATATCCACTTTAATATTTTTCATCTCCCCCCTCAATTGTTATATACTAAGGTATGTGAATAGACATTTTAATAAGTGAGAGTAGCCAAAAATGTCCTTAAATGTTAATTGATCTTTATATTTAACACTCATTCTTTATTTTTATTTTTTGTGAGTGATACTAGGCATTGAACCCAGGACCTTCATGCAGAGCTATATCCCCAGTCCTTCTATTTTTACTTTTAGTTTTTTATTTTGGTACTGGGAATCGAACTTAGGCCCCTGCGCTTGCAAGGCAGCAGGCAGAACCACTGAGCTAAATCCCCAGTCCTACTTTTAGTTTTGAGGCAAGGTCTTGTTAAGTCAAATTGCCCAGGCTGGGTTGCCTCAATCTCCTGGAGTCCTGGGATTACAGGTGTGCAGCGCCACACCCAGCTTTTTTTAAAATACCTTACCTAGTGAGTTCTTATTTAAGGGAAGAAAAGATAAAGCAGGAAAATTCTATATTTTATAAGGGATACAGGAATTTGGAAAACATTCCAATATCAGCAAAAGGAATGAAGATTAGATATAAATGTTAAAGGGCTGCGATTATCTAGAATAAAAGTAACAATCACTTTACTACATTAAGTTAGATAAATGATCACCGTATCCAACAAAGTGATCAATTTATAGCCAATAAGAGCAAAAGGAAATGGATCTAAATAATGTATCCAAAACTGAATTGAATCCAAAGAACAACCGTTAGAGGTTAAAATACCTTTTCCCTGAGCAATTTCATCTTAGTCATTAGGTAGGGAACAAGGAAGATGTCTGTGCTTAGATGATGTGGAGAGGCACATGGCAAAGCCCAAATCCAAGTGGGGTGAAAAGAGAGGCCCATGTTAGGGCGTCAAAGCAAAGCACGACATCCACGTGGGGCAATTACATGTGGAGTGCTAGGGCCCGAATGGGTTAAAGAAAGAGCTGATATGGTGGTGTGTGCCTGTAATCAATCCCTGCACTCTGGGAGGATGAACCAAGATGATCACAAGTTTGAAGCCAGCCTGGGCAATACAGTGACTTAGCAAGACCTTGTCTCAAGATAATGAATTTTTAAAAAAGGGTCAGGGCTGCCAGGCATGGTGGCACACACCTGCAATCCTAGCACTTGAGTGGCTGGGGCAGGAGGATCGCTGTGAGTTCGAGACCATGGTGAGTTCCAGGTCAACTACATAGTGAGACCCAGTCTCAAAAATAAATAAATGAATGAATGAATGAATGAATGGGGTAGGGATGTAGTTCAATATAAAGACCCTGAGTTCAATTCCCAATGCCATGAAAAAAAAAAAAAAACGTCATTCATGCATAAAGGCAACAGCAACACAGTGGAAGTGGGAGAGTGAGTGCATAAAGGGAGTGTGATCAAAGTAAATGTATTAAGGATAAAAGGAATTGGGCTTTACAATGTCAAATAAAGGCAGGACAGTATGGAAAGGAGAAAATTAGAATAAAATCCATGGCGCAGAACAAGAATTAGAAGCACCAGCAGGTACTCATATAGGGTTTTTTGTTTTGTTATGTTTTGGTACTGGGGATCAACTCTGGGCTCTGGACTTGCCAGGCAGGCATTGTGTTACTGAGCTACATTCCCAGTCCTAGTTTTTAAAATATAGAGGTAAATACAGATACAAATTTAGACATAAACATGTACAGTTGCTGTATTTGTACGGTCTACACCTGCAAGCTTAGCTAGCCATAAATTCAAGGTTTGTTTTTTTTAATATCAGGGATCAAACTTAGGACCTTGCACTTTTGAGGCAGGTGTGGTGTCACTGAGCTAAATCCCTGGCCCTTTGTTTTTGTTTTGTTTCCCAAAGACTGCATCTGAGGGCTGAGGCTATAACTAAATGGTAGAATGCTTGCCTAGTTTGTGTGAGGCACTGGGTTTAATAATTGTATAGTCCAGGCTGGCTTCAAACTCAAGGAGATCCTCCCGCCTCAGCCCATTGAGGGCTGGGAATACAGGTGTTTGCTACCACATCCAGCCCATACCAACATTATTGCTTGTCAATATTCTCAAAAAGCACTTACACTGTGATAGTATAAATAAGTAATCTAGAGATGACAAACTACATAGAAGAATATGCGTTAAGTCATAGTAAGCACTATGCCACTTTATAAGAAACCTGAACATCCGGGGATTTTGTTGTCCAAGGGGGTCCTGAAGTCAACCCCCCGTGGATACGGAGGGTAACTGTACATGCACACATACATGTGGGCCCACACATCTACACATATTTGTATCTATGTCTATCTAGCTATACATAGTCACTAATTCCTTAGCTTTTTCCTATAAGGGTGCCCAGGAGCTACAAGTTCACACTGTAACACCCCTCAGATCTTGGCTTATTTTCCCCCCAGTACTAAGAATCGAACCTAGGGCCTTTACCCCGAGTTACATTCCCAGTTCTTTTTTTTTCCCCCAGCTCTTTAAGATAAGGGCCCAAAATGTGTAATAGATATTGGGAAATGGGAAGAAACTGTTCAAATGAGAAAGGGAACAAGGGAGGGGGAGGGGAAAGGAAAGAAAGAACAAGAAAAAAATAAAAGAAAATGGAAGGAAAAAAATGGAAGCAAAGCTTTTGTAATTAAGAGGGGAAGCCAGGCTGAAGGTAGTAGAGAAGCAAGATATAATCATGTAGAGCCAGGGATTTAGCTCAGTGGTGCTACTGCCTGCCTCCCAAGTGCAAGGTCTTGAGTTCAATCCCTGGTACAAAAAAAAAAAAGATATATCATGTACAGGTGCAAATTCCCTATGATGAATTTTATCATTATGTATCATTATATCTAGAATGTACCAATAAAAAAAATTGTGGGGGGTTATTGGGGATCGAACGCAGGATCTTGCACTTGCAAGGCAGACAGCAGCACCACTGAGCTAAATCCCTGGCCCACCAATAAAATTTTTTAAAATGCAAAAAAAAAAAAAAAAAAAAGAGGGAGAGAGAAACCATGCAATATTTAATAAAATATTAGGAGTGAGAGAGTTACAATTTCAGAGAACCTCCTTATGAAGTGCTTTTTATTACAATGGAGGTGTTACTGCACAGTGGATAACCAAACCATTCAGCCAACATTCCCTTCATCAAGTGATCATCACCAAAAGAGATAAGCCTTAATATGTGTCACCTGATTAAATCCAAAAACATGCAGCATTACTTCACAATCTTCCTGTAGAACTTGAACCTATCAGAAGGAAACTTCAGCCATTTGCAAGTTGAGGTATGCTCTACACTTTACTCTTCAAAGCTATCAAGATCATTAAATTAAAGGGGAAAAAAATCTGAGGAAATGTTCCAGATTACAGGAGACTAAAGCAATACGACAACAAAATGCAATGATTGATTTTCAACAAGATTTTTTCTGCTACAAAAAACATTATTAGTACAACTGATTAAAACTGTCTGGGGTTTGAGAATTAGATGGTAATTTTTCACTGTCAATTTTCTGGTTTATCAATTGATGGTATGAAGGATTGAAACCAGGGCCTAGAGCATGGTAGGCAAGTGATCTACCACTGAACTACATCCTCAACACTTTTTATTTTGAAAGAGGGTCTCATGAAATTTTTCAGGCTGTCCTATAACTTGCCTCAGCCTCTCAAGAAGCTGGGATTACAAGTATGGCAATTTCCTAATTCTGAATGTTGCATTCTGGGGATAGAGGAGAAAGTCCTTGTTTGAGGGAAATATTTGGGAGTAATGAGGCATAACTTTGGCAACTTATCTACAAATACCTCAGAAATAAATATTCTTTATAATCTCTGCAAACTTTCCATAGGTCTGAATAGTCAGCCCCCTATAGCCTCAGGTTCTCCATCTACATATTCAACCCACCATGGACAGAAATATGAGGTCAGCCCAGGCAACTTAGCAAGAACTTGTCTCAAAATAAAATAATAAAAAGGCTGGGGATGTAGCTTAGTATGCCCTAGGTTCAATCTCCAGTGCGGGGAAAAAAAAAAATTAAAAATACGCATACACATACACAAATCAGCTGGAGCTAGGAATGGTGGCATGGTGGTATATACCTATAATCTCAGTGCTATGGGAGGCCCAGGCAGATGGACCACAAGTTTAATCCCAGCCTGGACAACTCAGTGGCTTAGCCAGACCCCGTCTCATAAAATAAAAAAGGAGATGTAGTTCAGTGTAGAGACCCTGGTTTCAATCCCAGTAAAACACACACACACACACACACACACACACACACACACAAAGGTAGGCAGCTTTTAAGGTGGCTCTAATAACGTCTTCTGGTATTTATGCCTTTGGTTAATCTCTTCAGTATGGGATGGCCTAGTGGCTTGCTTCTAATCTTTTTTTTTTGGTACCGGGGATTGAACTCGGGTCCTTGTCCTTGCAAGGCAGACGGCAGAACCACTGAGCTAAATCCCCAGCCCTATGTGACTTACTTCTAATAAACAAATATGGCAAAAATGATGGGATATCACTTCTGAGATTAGGTTACTCAAATAAATGGCTTTCAGTTTATTCTCATTTGTTCACCCTGACAGAAACCAGCTGCCAAGTTGTAAATGATTCGTACAGAGAGGCCTACATAATAGGGAATCAAGGGAGGTCTCTAGCTAATGGACAGTATAGAACTGAAACTCTCAATCCAAGAGGCATGAGGACATGAACCCTGACAACAATCACATGAGAGAGCTTTGAAGTGGAACCTTTCCTAGCTGAGCTTTGACATGACTGCACTCCAGCTGCCCCGACTACAGCCTGTGAGAGAGACTGAACCAGAAACTTAACTAAGCCTTGCCTAGAATCCTGAACTCACAGACACTGTGAGACATGAGCCACTAGGTTTTAGGGCGATCTGTTAGGCAACAACTATATGAAAGAAAATCTAGAAAGAGATGATATAATAGTAAAGTCTTTAAAAAATTAGATAATAATCTGCCTCTCCATTTGCTAGTAGGGTATCTTGGGCAAGTCATACAACCTACTGTTATGACTATTTCCTGCTACATAAAATGAGGGGATTTAGCTCAGTGGTGCTGCTGCTTGTTTTGCAACTGCAAATTCCTGAGTTTGATCCGTTACATAAAATTAATAATAATACACAGGTTTTAGGTGAAGATCAAATAGATAATATATGTGAGAATATAAGTATTAGTTATTAATTCTTTCAGGCTATTCATCTTTTCTTCTGTTAAAAAAAAAGATTAGTCTCAAAGAGTAATTTGAGGGATAACATACTATGATGTTAATTTTCCTATATAAGTTCGTATCAAGGTTGATTCTTCAATACATTAGAGTAAGTGGTATGATGCCCTGAAAGATAACCATTTCAGGCACAGACAGAAAGCACAAATTATATAAATTGAAAAAGGATATAGAAAATGTTTCTACTCTGCTAAAGAAGGCTTCTTTACTTGTAGATTCCAGTGGAGGATGCTCTGCTTGAGGTGATCCATTAACGGACTGGAATGTGGCAGACATGTCCTTTCTAAAATAAATTGGTAGAACACTTGGTAACTTTTCACAGTACAACTAAATTTAAATGTTTTGTATCTAGTTTCTCTTTATATCATATCAGATCCAAACTGGATTTTAAGCTTCCTAAAAATAATTTCAGTCATGTCATTCCTCTGCTTAATATTTTTAATGGTTTCAAAATTCTTACTAAATAGAATCCAAATTCTCCAATCTGGCATTCCTAACTCTTTATAGTTTAGTCAAGACTAAATTTCTATCTGTTTCATGCAGTTTGTACATTTATAGTGCTCCACTAATACCAAACTATTTTCCTAGTTCACTTTTTCTATTCAATTATATTTCACTTACCTTTAGTAAATACAAAATAAGACAATTTGAGTCACTTCAGAAATTTTAGTTTCTCTAACAGCAGAAAAACAACTCTGACATACTACCTGGATGGACCCTTGACACTCTTTCCAAAAAGAACCAATTTAAAAAATCAAATCACAGTTAAGATCTTTAGATTTCATGAAAAAAAAAATTAGCCAAGTAATTCTTTCATTTTCAGTAAAAGGCATTTCTTTTTTCTTTTCTTTTTAGCAACGGGGGTCTCGCTACATAGTTCAGGCTGGCCCTGCAGTATGCAACCCAGGCTGGCCTGGAACTCCCTGCAATCTTCCTGCCTCAGCTTCCCCCAAGTGCTGGAACTACAGGGATGTGTCACCATGCCTAGCAGTGAAAGGTAGGTATTTCAATAGCAACGAGGAATGAAGACTGGGGCTTGGAAATACTAAGGCAAAAATCATTTTTTAAATAAAAATAACATTACACAAACACTTTTGGCTTGAAAGAAATAAATTTAAGAATCCACCTCAGATCCAGAGCCGAGAAAGATGTGGTTCTTGGAAAAAACTGATTACCTACAAAGCTGGATAGGAATAAAATGACATTTCACTAGCCTCTGAGTAGTATTTCAATTATAAAAGTTTTAAAAAATCCACTGTAGTTTAGTCAGTATCTGTGATTCTGTCACATACGGAAATAATTTTTGTCACCAATGGAAATAATTTTCTCATGTCATATTTGTTGGCCACGTTTTGAATACTAGTTGAGTTCAACATTATTTCAAAATTATGGTTGGTAGTAGATATGTTACTATGTATTATTTACCGCTTTAATAAAAAAAAGCACGTTACTGCACATTTTTCTCTCTTTTACTATCTCAATTACATTCTAAAGTAATTGGTAGTCAGGTGTGATGGCGTGCGCCTGTAATCCTAGTTACATGGGAGTTCGAACGCGAGTTCGAGGCCAATCCGGGCAACATAGTGAGAACCTACCTTTACAAAAAGCAGAAGCAAAATAAAAAAAAAATAATCCTACGTAATTTGCTATATGAATTTAAACACATTTTTCAGGGAAAAAAAGGGGGGGATCGTAAACTTTACCAGACTGCCGAAGCGGTCTCCGGCGTAAAAAAGGTAGGAACCCCAACTAACCTCAACTGTCCTCTTCTTCTTCCAAAAAAATCTCAGGGCAAAATCTGACCCTAGTGCGGAATTAAGTAAATCATGAGGAAATTGGAGCCCACCAATCATAGAAGCCTCTTTCAAAACCCAAGAAGCCGTCCCACAGGCAATTTGGCCCACCGAGGAGGCACTCCCCAACCTCTGCTCTTTCCAGACCTAAATTCCCCCAGCCCTCTTCAATCTTTCAGCGCCAGACCAGGGCCGACTAAAGAACTCACGCCTCTGCTCCTCCCTCTTCCGAGGCAATCCCCTCATCGATCAGCTGCCGTATTTTCTGGGGTGTTCCTTCTGGGGAACGAACAACACCCCAATTCTTTTGAACCCCCGCGGCAAATTCCTGCCCCTCACTGGAGGCCGCCATCTTGGTCCGTTGATGAATTGCGTCCCCAGGGGTTTGAAGGTTTACGAACTTCCGTTCTGGGCGGTTAACATCCGCCTGTCCGGGCTACCTCAAGCAGCAAGAACTTCACCCCTGGGTCCATCACTTCCTGGTTGGGAGACATTTAAAATGAAGGTTTAAGAGCTAAACCTAGGTTAATCATTTCCTTTATGACCTAACTTATTTAGGTTTAGAGGAATGACTCAAAATTCAGAAGGAGTGAGAATCCTAATGTCTTTTAGTAATTAACTCTTTCTTACTAGGCTTTCCTAGGTTACGTCTTTTTACAAGTTAGGAAATAGCGACCTTCACATGAGAACAATAATATAGAATCTTTAGAAGTTGGGTTCCAAATGGGGAAAAAATAAGAACCAAGATACATCGTGTAAAGGTAAAAGTTCCCAGTGATGAATGTAAATGTATTGTATACCTAAAATATACCAATAAAAAAATTTAAGAGAAGAGGGGGGAAAAAAAAAAGAAGAAGAAAAGGAATTGGGTTCCAGGTAGATGTAGAAGTATGAGGTACTGGACACTAGTGAGAACTCTCTCCTTTGTCTAGCAACTATTGAATATCCTACTATTCTTGTATTAGACATTGGCAGTGACAATAGCGAACAAAAGAGATGTAAGTGGTTCTTGGTAGAGTTCAACATCAAACAAGTATATTTTCCTATAGTTTTGCTTTGTTTGTGATGCTGGGGATCAAACCCAGGACCTCCCACTAGCTCTACCACTAAGCTATATCCCCAGAGTCCTCCTGTAGTTTTAAAATTATAAGTAATTCAAAGAAGATCCACGAAGGATGTAATAGAAGAACCTAATTTGGTTTCAGATTCCCCTGAGAGAATCACGTGCTGGAACTGAGAGGGATGAGATTGAAGGGAAGAAATCTGCACAGACTCAAAGCCTCATCTGGGTATGAACAGTGGGAAGTGGAATTTGCCTGACTCCTTTAGCTCTCTTCTATGCGCTCCTGACTCCAACAGTGTTCCCAACTACCAGGACTTGCAGCTTATTGATCCAAGCATGTTTCTGCTGTTTCTAATTCTACCAGTGCTCTTGTTCTCTCTTTAACCAGCTTACATTCATTGCTAATCTTTATCACCATTCCTTGGCAATATTTGAACATGGGCTGAAAGTTAATGAATCGAATATCAAAGAATTACTGTTAATTTTCTTACATATGATAATGGCATTTTGTTTGTTTTGGTACCAGGGATTGAACTCGGGTCCTTGCGCTTGCAAGGCTGGCCACTGAACCGCTGAGCTAAATCCCTGGCCCTGTTTGTTTTTTGAGACAGGGTTTTGCTGTGTAGTTGAGGCTGGCCTTGTACTCACTATGTAGCCCAGGCTGGCCTTGAATTAGGGGCAATCCTCCTGCTTCAGTCTCCCCAGTGCTAGGATTATAGGCATGTGCCACCACCCCCAGCTTTGTTTTTGTTTTTGAGTTAGGTTTCACTAGGTAGTCCATGCCAGCCTTGAATTTGCCACATAGACAGGCTGGTTTTTGTGACCCTCCTGCCTCAGCCTTCCAAGTGCTGGGATTATAGGCATGTGCCAGCACACCTGGCTTGTGGTTATGGTTTTAAAAAGTCTTTATTAAGATATATCTTGAGACATTTGTGGGTGAACTGATGTGATGTTTGAGATCTGTTTTGAAATTCTCCTAAAAGAGAAAACATGAGGAGGATTAGATGACAGAGGATTGCAAAATGTTTTTAACTGTTGGATTTGAGTGGTAGAGTTATGGAGTACATTATATTAGTCTTTCTACTATTGAATATGCTTGACAACATATAATAAAAAGTAAAACCAATAAGCTAAAAATAATACATTCTCTGAATATTCTGTCACTTTCCTCAAACCTCTTAATTTGTATTGGTCACTTTGCAAAATCTCAATACAGTAGAATTCAACTCTCCACAATTCTGCCTCTGTACCTATAACAAAATATGGCTAAAGAAAAACACACATTGACTTGTCTGTATGTATGTTTTTTTGTTTTTTGGGTTTTTTTGTTTTGTTTTTTTTTTTGTACTGGGGATAGAACTCGGGTCCTTGCACTTGCAACGCAGGTGGTGGCAACACTGAGCTAAATCCCCAGCCTTTGTCTGTATATTCTTGACTTCAAGTGGGACTTTAATTCTGCCCGTAGTGAAACTTCATTTCTCTAGTCCACTTCCTCTTCCATTTTTTTGTTTTGTTTGGTTTTGGTTTTTTTTTGAGACAGGGCCTCACTACATAGCCCAGTTTGTCCTCAGGTTTGTGGCAGTCCTTCTGCTTCAGCCTCCTGTGGGTATATGTTACCAGACCTAGCTCTCTCCTACTCTCATAGATGACTATTTTGTACCTCTCTCCATCAATACCTTGAACACCTCCACGTAGGCTACCCTCCCTTTCTGCTAACGACTTTGCCTCCTTTTTGGCTTAAAAAAAGAAAAGCAATAGAAAGAGAACTTCCACTACCACAATTTACCCACTAGCATATAGATTACTGGGTATTTTTTAAATTCCCATATTTCTGAGAAGTGATTGGTTTTTCTGTTAGCCTTAGTGACAATGAGCAATCAGCCAAGTTAAAATTCAGTTGATTAGCGGTAATTCAACCCAGTGAACACACTTTTGTAAGCCCAATCAATGACAACCCTTTTATTCAGCCAATTACAAAGAGAATCACTTCAGTAAACATCTTCAAGTGCCAATCAACCGTACTCTAAAAAAAAAATAGTCTCGCTCAAGTTATCACTTGCATGCCTCGAGCTCTGATGGTTTGTCAGTCACTGAGTTTCATGCTTTCTCAAAAATCCAATAGATCAGCTGTCTGGCTTGCTTGAAGACTGTGCCTGACCTATGTAGCTCTAATTTTCTATAATAAGTGTTAAATGAAATAACAGAGAGATGTTCCAAGGATAATTTCTTTGGAATAAGCAGAGCATTTAAATGGGAATGCAAGTGCCATAGTAAGTTGTGGGTGGATTTTCATTTTAAATGTTGTGCTTATTCAGCTTGGTCTCTTCATTTTGTATGTGAGTAGTGTTCTCATTTATTCTCTAATAGCATTCTGTCATCCCTTCTATTACTTTTGATCAGTGGTTTTCAAATAAACATGACTTTGCCTTTCAGGGACTATTTGGGATGTCCCTAGATTATGTGCAAAAAACTACATCATTTTCACTATTTTTCATATATAAACCTTTGAGCATCTGCTGATATTGGTATTGCAATGAATCCTGGAACCAATTATCCATGTAAATTCTCTTTGTATTTCTCTCTCCCCCATTTGATTTATTTGTTTCATTAAAGTATACTCTTCAGAAACATGGGGTGTTTTTTTTTTTCAGTGCTGGAGATTGAACCCAAGGTCTTACACATGCTACACAAGTGCTCTACCATTGAGCTACATTCTCAGCCCTATTGGTTTTTATTGCTGTGTCCCTAGTGTTTACAACGGTGCTTGGATGAAGTAGGTGCTTAATAAATAGTTATGAAATGGATGTATGTAAAACATCTAAAGGATTTGGATCTTACCCTAAAAGTCAAGGGCAGCCATTGGAAGACTTTAAGTAGGGCAGAAACATGACAGTTGTGCATCTAGGAAAGATCACTCCATAGACTACATCAGTGACCACTAGGAGGTTGCTGAAGAAGCTCAGGCAGAACAGAAGGCAAAGATGTGTAAGATGAGGAGGATGATAGTTGGAAGTGAGGAGATGCAAGATTTATTCTGGATCTAGAAACAGTGGGATTTAGTGATAGATTGTATATGGCAGGTGAGGGATAGGTTTTAAGGAGGGACTCCAGGCCTGATAACTGATATATACATTCATTCTTGACATTTTCTGCGTGTCTCCAGTGTCTGGCACATAGTACAGTAGATGTTCAGAAATGTTTATTTTAAGATTTGAATCGGTAGGCCAGGGATTTAGCTCAGTGATTCTGTCACCTGCCTCTCAAGCGCAAGGACGCAATAAGAATCAGTAAATGCTTGAATTGTCCAGTTTTCGATAGTCACTGTGCAAATGTGAATGGAGGAAAGAATTGGAGTCAGAAATGGCTCCTCTAATCCCTACCATGTGGTTAGAAGATTCAATGATGCTCTATATGGATGTGTTCAGTGCATAGCAGCTTCCTGGTGGTTCTAGTTTCTGCCTAAGCTTTACTTCAAAACAAAACAAAACAAAATGCTTAGGCAGAAAAAACTAAGGGGGCCAGGAGCCTGAGTTCAATCCCTGGTACACACACACAAAAAAAATCCAAAACAAAAATCTAAGGATTGAGCCAGAGCCTTTCCACTGAGTTACATCCTCAGCCCTTTTTAAAAATTTTATTTTGAAACAGATTCTCATTAAGTTGTTGAATTGCCCAGGCTGGGTTTGGACCTTCAATTCACCTGCCTCAGCCTCCCAGAGTGCTGGTGTTACAGGTGTGTGCCACCCACTTGGCTTCTGCCTAAGCACTTTAGTGTAGCTGGTAGAAGCTATGATGATGGCCTGGATCCTCCTTCAGAAATGAGGAACTAGTCTTCCCAGCCACTGGGAAGCCCTTGGCTGCCAGTTCCATTGGGAGTTACCTGATTAAAGGCAGTCATTTTTCCCAAGGTCCCTCCCTCCCCTTTTTCCCGAGACATCCAGTGGCCAATCAAGAAAGAGGAGAGGTCTAGGCCCCTTGTCACACTCAGAACCACACTGAGATATTTGTAGAAAAATGGATGCTTTTGAGACCATACTGTTAATTAAAATAAATCAGGCACACGAGCTTAAATACAGCATGGTTTCTCTCCTTCTTTCTTCTTTCTAGACAGGAGCTTGCTCTGTAACCCAGGCTGGCCTCAAACTCATGATGACCTAGGCATGGTTTCTCTCCTTTCTTCTTTCTAGACAGGAGCTTGCTCTGTAACCCAGGCTGGCCTCAAACTCATGATGACCTTCCTTCCTAAGCCTCCTGACTGCAGGGATTACTGGGGTGCACCACTGCACCTGACTAGGCATGATTTCTCTTACATAAGAAAGCCAAAGTTTCAAAAAAAAAATTTTTTTGGAGACAGGGTCTCACTGTGTAGTTGCGACTGACCTGGAACTCACTATGTAGCCCAGGCTGGTCTATATAAGAAAGCCAAAGTTTCAAAAAAAATTTTTTTTTGAGACAGGGTCTCACTGTGTAGTTGCGACTGACCTGGAACTCACTATGTAGCCCAGGCTGGTCTCGAACTCACAGCGATCCTCCTGCCTCAGCCACCTGAGTGCTGGGATTACAGGCGTGTGCCACCACACCTGGCTGCCAAAGTTTAAATGAATGAAAGAGCAAAATAAAAGGTAGATGATCACAAACAAGGAGATAAGAGTTTTTGCAAATGGGAAGGGAATTAAGAGATGGAGGGGGGGAAGAGGATTAAAAAGAATTAAGAAGTGTTATGTACATGTACCAACTCATAATGAATGCAGTCATTATATATTGCAAACATGTACTAATAAAAATAAAAAAAAATATTTTAAAGTGCCATACTAATACGCCGTCCAGCTTTAGAATTCCCTGTAGGATCCCTGGGCCTCCCTTGAGATGCATGGCAGTTCAGGTTCTCCTCCTGCCCAATCCTGCTTCCTTCTCCTTTCCATGGAATTGATGCCTGTTCCCTCCCACAACCTCCTGTCTGCTGATCTGCTTCTCAGGCTCTGCTGTGAACCATTTTGTTTCTTCCCGGAAGCAGCAGCTCTGCTGATAGCTCAGCTGTCAGACTGTCTATTGTGTACGTGGTTTTTAATGTGAGAACATGCCAAAGTTTAAGCCTATAAGTCTTTTATGTTACATAGGACCTCACCAGAATACATCAGCCATCCTGTATTTGCTAGTAGAAAAATGTGTCACAAGGTAGAAAAATGTGTCAAAAAGCTTATTTTTTCCTGAAAACCTCTCCCTCTTCCCTCTCTCTCACCACCTCTCCTCCCCAGTGCTAGGAGTTGAATCTAGGGCCTTGTGCATGCTACAGTTTGATCCACAAAACTGAAAAACAAAACAAAACAAAAACTAAAAAAAACCCCAAAACACAAGTTTTTATATAGTTGTTTCTAATTTGCCTTCCTCCAAAACAATTTGAAAAAGAATAGGATTTCCATATGGTAGTTTTGTGTG